CACAGTGGCTGTTTTGGCCTTCGTTGACGGCACCTGAAACTGAAGAGTGGCAGGTATCGTTGGGTTCCTGCCGAACAGCATGAAATACGGTGAGTAACCAATCGACGAATGCACCTTTGCACGGTAGCCCAACATCAATAGCGGCAGATGGACATCCCAGTCATCATGGTTACCGTCCAGATGCTTTGAAAGCATTCCCAGAATGGTTCTCATCATGCGCTCACATTTAGCGTTACCCTCCGGATGATAGGGGGAAATCTTAGTTTTCTCAACGCCTAGTAGGCGACAAACCTCTTCGATGAGAGCTCCTGTGAAATTGGCAGCGTTATCAGAATGAATTCGTCTCGGGCAGCCAAAACGAGAAATAAACTGATTCACCAGGACGTCTGCTACCGTTACTGCCTTCATGTCTGGCACTGGGTAAGCCTCACACCACCTGGTGAAATGGTCAACAACCACAAGCAAATGTCGATTGCCCTGTGAAGTAGTCGGCAAACCTGAAAGGAAATCGATTGAAATGGTCTCCAGAGGCTCCTCAGCGTATAGCTCGCCCATCGACGCTCTCGGTCGGGGCACTGGGGCAGTTCTCGTGTTGCAGCGCTCGCATCGGCTGCAGAAATCCTTCACGGATTCGTCCATATTGGGCCACCAGAACTCGCGTCTGGCAGTCGCGACAAGGGCCTCAGCACTGTAGTGGCCTCCAGCTGGACCTGCGTGCAGAGAGGTCAGCACACCGGGAACAAGTTGCTGCGGTACGACCAGCTGCAACTGCTCCTCTCCACCTGCACGGGCACGATACACACGGAACAGCACACCATCCAGCAGCTTCAGGCGGTGCCACTGTCTCAGCAGCGTCACAGCGCTGGGGGTCACGTTCGTCGATCTCGGCCTCTTTCCTGTGGACATGTGTCTCGCAATGTCAGCTATTGCAGGGTCCTGGTCCTGCTCGTGGCGAAGAAAGCCATTTGACCACGAGCCAGGAGACACTCTCATGACCGGGACACTCTCTGGTGCAGTTTGAGTCGCAGCATCCTGGGTCACCGGCGGACGTCGGCTCATGACATCAGCTGGTACGTTCTCAGACCCTGGACGAAAGATAATCTCGAAGTCATATTCGGACAGTATCTCCAGCCATCTCGCCAGCACTCCTGAGGGATTTTTGAAATTGAGAAGCCAGCGAAGGCTCGCATGGTCAGTCCTCAGTTCAAAACGCCTACCAAGCAGGTAGTGTCTGAAATGCTGGACGAAAATAACACAAGCCAGCAACTCCTTTCGTGTGGTGCTGTAGTTACGTTGCGCCTTCGACAGCCTGTGAGACGCGAACGCGATCACCTTGTCCTCTCCATCCTGCTCCTGGAAGAGAGTAGCACCAATGCCTGTGTCAGAAGCATCGGTATCAAGCCTGAATCGGCCAGCACCAGCTGAAAATCTGGGAAATGAGACCACTGGTGCGCTCGTCAGCGCACACTTCAGCTGCTCAAACGCACTCTGCTGCATGTCACCCCATTGAAACTTTGCATCTTTGTGCGTCAGCTGAAACAGAGGAGCAGCTATTTCGGCGAAATTGCGCACAAACTTTCTGAAATATGACGCGAGTCCCAAAAAGCTCGACAGTTCCTTGACTGTACGAGGAACAGGCCAGTCTACTACCTTGGCTACTTTTTCGGGATCAGCTCTCACGCCACCACCTGACACTACATGACCCAAAAAGTTGACCTCTTTACAAAACAAAGAACATTTCTCCAGATTCAGTGTAAGCCCTGCGGCCTGCAACCTCTGCAGCACCTTATCAAGTTTGGCCAACACATCCTCCACTCCATTCCCGTGAACCACAATATCATCAAAATAATGAACACAGTCTTTCGGCGTGATATCTCCCAACACACGATCAAGCAGACGAGCACAGGTAGCAGGTCCTCCTGCCAAACCAAAAATCATCCTTCGAAAGCGGTACGAACCGAAGGGTGTAGTGATGGTGGTCTTATCTCTATCTTTCTCGGACACACCGATCTGAAAATACGCGCTGTTCATGTCAAGCTGGCAAAACGTATCAGAACCAGACAGCGCATCCAGCGTATCATCAATACGCGGGATCTGATACACAGGAATCTTACTGCAAGCATTCAAACGTCTCAGATCAGCAACCAAACGAAACTTTCCATTCTTCTTTCGAACCATAACGATTGGGGACGACCATGTGCCATTCGACTCCTCGAGAATCCCTTGGTCCACCAGCTCACTGATCTGTGCCTTGACCTCGGCTGCAAGGTGAGGGGGAACACGTCTGGGTGCCTGTCGAATGGGCGGGTGGTCACCGGTGTCTATGTCGTGGGTGACCACATCAGTGAAGCCGATATGGCCGTCAAACATATCCGCATAGCGGGACAACAGCTCGTGGACTCTCTGACGCTGTTCGTCAGTGAGGAGAGACTGATCGAGTTTGGCCAGTTTCTTCACATCAACATCTGTCGACGCCGAGAGCTCCGGTGCTTGCTCTACAAATCCAACCTCGACCGAAGCCAAACTTCGCTTTTTGAAGAGCGTGATCGGTTCTGCTGTCACATTCCGAACGACCACGGGAACACAAGCACGATCAACATTGACAATAGCACGCACCACCTCAACACCAGAGGGGACATCATCTGGCTCAATCAGAGCTGGGCCGACGTAATCGCAATTTGGCACAAGACCTTGTAGGACCATTTCACTACCAGGAGCAATCACACGGTCACAGCTCAGAGACACATTGCCCAAACTCACGGCCTGTGCAGAAACTGAGCGAACGGACACGTTGGGAACCATGACAAGACGTCTCCGACTCAAATCTATCACACACGGACAGTGTTGCAGGAAATCCACTCCCAACAAACATGGCACGTCAATGGCGTCAGACACAAACAGGGGAAGGGGGTAAGTGACATCACCGATCTGGAATGGCACTACGACCCGACCCAACAAAGGTAGGTCTTCTTTAGACGCAGTCTTGGCAGTTACACTGGTACGTTTCAGAGTCACATTTGGAAGGGCATCAAACACCGAGCTATGCAAAATACTGATTGAACTGCCGGTGTCCAACAAACACTCACATTTGACACCAGACACGCTTCCCGAAATGCGCATCGTATCAGTGATTGGGATTGACTTTTCATCATTACTTACTGGGTCCGACCGGCGACCCCGTGTGAACGACCGGACCCTTGGTCGTTTCCCTTCTGTCGTTCTGGGCACACTTTGGCGATGTGACCTTCACCGCCACACACAAAACATCGACAGCGATTCAGACGGCACCGGTTACGGACATGACCGGCACGGCCACAACAGTGACACGTCACTGAAGCAGCGGCGTCACCTCTCGGACGCTGGACACGGTTGGGACGGTTTGACACGGTTGGGTTCATCTGGGCCTGGTGCGTCACTGCAGCCAGGCGGGCCTCAAGCTCAGAGACACGTTTGTTCAGAGCATCAACAACAGACTGTTCCGACTCAAGAACACGGACTGGTTTCACAGATGACTGAGAGCCTGGAGCACGCTGGTCGGGAGACACAGCGGAAGCAAGCGGGGATGCTGCAGCACCGATTGTTACACGTGAACATTGAATGTTACGCACCTTTGTGACGGCAGAGTCAAAGGAAGAAATGCCGTCGGCAATTACGGCAGTGTAATACTCCTGCGGAAGCGTAGCGAGGAAGTGACTGAACAGGAGAGGAGTGAGGTCGTCTACAGTAGGGAAGGCCAGCTTCATCAGCTTTTTGAAACGAATGACGATACATACATACAGAGACACATAAGGTAAAATAACTAAGCTAAGACACAAAGACGGTTGCAATCTGAAGGCAGTGATAGAAGACTACTAAAATTATCATCAGAGTCTGGTCTGTAAACCGTTTTCACCAGTGAGGTATCCTGTAATCGGGGTGGTTCAAAGGTATTGAGGACGATCGTCCATGGTCCATACATATGTAGACTGTGGTTGCGTCTTAGGTCCGAAAGCCGATATTTAAAATCACATGTTTGCTATATTGGGTAAACAATAACTCAAAACAGGCACAAGTCCGGCCGGCCCCCTGCTCTGCCGACTCTCTCTCCCGGTCTCTCGTCAGCTGTCGCTGCCCAAGCGGGAAGCGGGGTGGCGTTGCCCTAGCAACAGTTGCTAGGAGACGGCCGACGGCCTCCTCCCGCGGACGGATGCGGGCGGCGAAACTCAGCCGTCTATATATATATATATATATATATATATATATATATATATATATATATATATATATATATATATATATATATATATATATATATATATATATATACATACAGTGATACACAGTGGTTTTCGGTATGGTGTTGTTTCAGGCAGCACCCTCAACTGCGACTACTCCTTTGACCTCTGGCACGCTGCAAAAACGCTGGAGAAGGACCTCCGGGCAGCAGCCGGGAGGGCCTCAACGAAGACACTCGCTCCCTGGATAAAACATATCAAAATCCACTTCTGGTGGTGCGCCCAACATTGCGAGGGTTCGGCCGACATGATGCAGGTACATTTTTATCTAACTTTATTCCTAGCCTTTTAGATATAGGGATTGACAAGGGCAGAGCTCTGCTAACAAAACTGACGATGTTGTTGCGTTGGCCTTGCAGTGCTCTACCCTCCGATGGTGCAATTTAGGTTACATGACAGAATTTGGAGGCCAAATTTCAGTGTACCCACATAGCCGCACAAGGCCGGTTTCAATCATTGACTTCAGCTGACAACGGTCGTTACCCCGGCTGCAATCCCACCAGGAGGCTGACAAATGTCGAGCGCCCGTAATCTCGGGAGAGTTCATGTCAGCCCGTACCGTAGTGCCATCTTGTTATACTAGGGTTACGTAGTAATGTAGTGATTGTACAGTCACGTTCATATGAAATTAACACATTGAATTCCACCTTTCAATCGCAACGAATTAACCGTCTCCGTAATCGTTCCATTCGAGCAGAAGCGGCTTGAGATGAGCCTCCACCACACCGCACTGAAAGAAGTCATCTTCAGTCCAAAACTCCGCCGGAAGATCCCGTACCTCGTACGGTACAGGTATATATATATATATATATATATATATACCTGTATATATATATATATATATATATATATATATATATATATATATATATATATATATATATATATATATATATATATATATATATATATATATATATATATATATATATATATATATATATATATATATATATATATATATATATATATATATATATATATATATATATATATATATATATATATATATATATATATATATATATATATATATATATATATATATATATATATATATATATATATATATATATATATATATATATATATATATATATATATATATATATATATATATATATATATATATATATATATATGGACGATGGAATCATAAAATTTTGCTGTTCTTTGGAGGAGGGATCTACGGTGGGACTATAGGTTTTTGCTTCAGCCACTTACTACTCGAAATGAAACTACAGATTCTGTTTGCTTAAATTATCAATTGGTTATGTTGGCATATCTTGTTTTGGAAGTCTCGATTGTTCGCTATTCCAATGCCATTGCCAATGATTTTCGAGCTCTAACGAGCCCATGCATTGCAGAGCAGGCTGTGAATAGACCATAATTGTTTTTTTCCAGGCACACGGGGAGGCTCGAAAGCTTCCACAACAACACGCTCGTCTACACCCCGAAGCAAGTGTTTTTCTGGTAAGAAACACATATTGGACATTTTGTTTTGTCCAATATTTACTTCATCTTGATTGCGCACGGTTTTGACAACTAGCATGGCCACAAAAGCAATGTAGTAAGTCCTGAATGATAACGTTAAAAGCATGGGCCAAAGGATTCATTTCTGCCAAACAAGTTGCCATCAAAGCTAAGCATATGATCGCATGCCGCATCGGGAACTACTTATGTTGCGAGTTACATGAATGCAGCTGTGTCAAATAGATATTAAATGGTGCATTTAAATCACAGGCCGGCCATGTTCACGGCCAGGAAGCACATGGCCGTCATCGACTATGACGCCAACATGGACCGTCAAATCCTGAAGGGAGACGACGGCAACGACCGGTAATTTAACACCTCATTACGGGATAACAAAAAGCTGCCCAACATTGTTCCAAAATGTACCCTCTGATCAACCTTACCGCTTTCGGGGTACGTGTGCTAATCACCTGTAACATTGCTTCAGAATACATCGTCCGATTAACCTTACTCTTTTTAGAACCTGCCTTGGTAAAACTTCAGTTTTTTACATTAAAGAAACACAATTTTGATGATCGTTTCTCCTTCTCGATGGCCAATTACATCAAAAACAGTTTCAAAACACTTAACTTCGCACCACTTACCGAAATATAATAAAGAAATCACCCCACCTTTGATGCGCTACGCACACACTGCAGAGACGCAAAATGGCGACATTGTTTTGCCTCTGATGCGCCAGATATGTAATTTAAAAGAATTGGATGCGACTACTAAATACAATATCCTGAAACAAGAACTATTTTCATCCTAGGGGACACTGGGAAATCGGGGTTTTTGGGTGGGGGAGGGGGGGGGGGGTTAGATTCAAACCAAATCTAACCTAACCTAACCTAACCTAACCTAACCTAACCTAACCTAACCTTACCTAACCTAACCTAACCTAACCTAACCTAACCTAACCTAACCTACCACGTTTCCAGGGGTTTGTGCGCTAGGGACGAAAAGGAGTATATCTTAGGTAAGGACAACAGTAGCGGTATTTTTAAACATCGCAGCAACTATAAAAATAGGCATGTCTCGGGGCGTTCAAGCCCTGGACCCACTTGTGAAAGTGGGACATGCGCATGCTCCGGGGCAGCACAGAGAGGAGGACCGAGAGCGTGTCACGCGTCGCTCCTCACGAAAGCCGTCCGCAGGGGTCGGTGGTGGTGGGTGTGTCGGCGGATCAGCCTCTGAATCGAGTGGCGGCCCCGCAACTGGCTCTTCTTCCGGTGCCTGGAGTGACTGAGGGATCCTGGTCGGGGTCAGTCCGGACGATGGCGGCGGCGACGGTCCCGGTCTGGTGCCCACTGCTGGCCTGGCTGTGGCCAGCACAGAGGCAGCGTTACCTCTGGCCACGGCGATGGAGACTCTTTGTGAGAGCCAGACTGTTTCGCGCTTGTCGCCGGTGCGGGCTGTCAGTCGACGGCCAAGCTCCTTCAGGAGACCGGCTGCAGCCGGACCCAGCACACCAGACGTTTCGACCGCAAAAGGGACGAAGACGTATCGCTCACAGAGAGCTGCATATCGGGTGCGCTTGCGCTCTTCCGCACAGCGGGCGGCGCTCCCAGGATTCAAGGCGGAGCTGATGATGGCCGTTGATGAGTAAGTGTCGCAGCAGGTAGCGTCCCATACGAGGCTCATTCCCCGGCTGAAAGGGAAGAGTGTAATCCCATCGGGACGTCGGCCATCTCCTCTGTCAAGGCCGGTGGGCTCCAGCACACTCTCAAGTCCTGCGCTGCTGAGTGCTCGCCGTAGCACGTCATTAAGGTTAGCGTGACGTGCGTGGCGGCCAGCACTCTTGGCACAGGAGAGACCGTGGTGTCCCAGTTGGTCAACAGGGCGATGGCAGAGCTGACAGTTATGTGGCTCGCATACTGATCCCCCAAGACGCAGCGCCACCGCAACCCGGACAGTTTCGTTATCCAGGTGGAGCCCTAGACTGGTGACGGGGAGGGCCTGCGCCCAGGCAGCGGTGTGGGGCTCTGCGGCAGCAAGGAGACGTGCCCGGACCACCTGGTTTGCCCCGTCCAGCAGACGCTTCTGTGCCATCTTGGAGAATGCATCATCCCAAGCGCGCTGTTTTTTCTCTTCTGATATGGGCACAAGGTGAGCGGCCTCGCCGAGCTTCGCGACGGCATCGGCCTTGACTCGCTGGAGTGCTCGAGTAGGCTGGCGAGGCTCGGTGGCGTGGAGGATCTCCTGCGCCAGTGACAAGCAAGCATGGAGTGATGCCACGTGACACGGCAGGGCTAATGCCGTGACTGACCGGACTCCAAGTCCTCCGAAACGCAGTGGCAGGGTCGCCTGTTCCCACGCTCCGTCATCGATGGTGACGTTGGTGACGGTGGCGAGCGTGACCCGTACCGTCTCGTCTACAGCCAGCAGTGGTCCCGGCTCGCGGTACAGCGGCGCCGATCGCAGAAGGTAGGTTAGCCGGGGGGCTGCCGTGTAGTGTGTCAAAAGGAAAAGACCGGTGTGAGCGTCGAGATGGCTGATGCGGGCGCACATCCGGTCTATGACGGCTGCAGTCTTGGTGGTAGCGGTGGGCAGCGCAGCATCGGTCAATGGAGATCCCAGGAGAGAGAGATCCCTAGCTGGAGTCTCCTTCAGCCCTGGGAGTGTGGCACGTAGTGTCAATCAAAACGTCCGTATGTATGTATGTATGTATGTGACGCGTCAGTCACGCTTGGCGGGCTATTGCTGTGGAACGGTGCGGGCTGCGGGGGTGAAATTTTGGACATAAGTCAGACGCGTGCATCTGTTTGTCGTATTAAATTTTGGTGGGGGTGGGTTCGATGGTTTGCACGTGGCGGGCGCATCTTTGCCGCATTTTGGGCCGCGGCCGGCGCCGATCAGAGAGCACGCGCATTAGCCTCAGTTTCTTCGCTTGCCAAACTGAGCGAAATCAGAGCCGGAAGGTCACTGACCTTTGGCAATGAATACCGGAACAGAGCACCGCCGGCCAGGAGGAGACGCCAAATTTATTAGGCTCCAGGCCGGCAAATTTATTAGGCTCCAGGAATAGGCTCCAGGCCGGCCTTCGGCCGGCCTGGAGACAATTCCAGAACTCTTTAACCTAACATTTTTCCATTTACCCTTACCTAAGATATCCCCTATTTGTGGCCAAGGCCACATCATTGGTTCGCGTCGCTAGCAAACACGTTTCTCAATCACCTTCACCCGAAAACCCCGATTTCCCAGTGTCCCCTAGGAGGAAAATAGTCTATTATCGGCATATTGTATTTAGTAGTCGTATCCAATTAAGGTTACATATCTGGCGCATCAGAGGCAAAACAGCGTCGCCATTTTGCGTCGTGGCAGTTGACGTAGCGTGCTGACGATAGGGTGGTTTCTTTATTATATTTCGGTAAATGTTGCGAATCAAAGTGTTTTGAAGCTGTTTTTTATGTAATTGACCAAGGAGAAACAGTGAAGCATCATCAAAATTGTGCTACCTCAATGTAAAAAACTGAAGTATCGCCCCTGCCTTCCCTGCTTTGTCTTGCTGTTGACTTAAGCCGTTTCCAATACTGGGTAGCCGAAGTACCTATGGGGTTGCAATCGTGTCAACGACACCAAATATCTCGCGCTAAGTTGAGGGCATCTGCATTTCTATCTGCAGGTGTGTATGTATTGTTAATGAAGCCGGGGCGACGAGTTTGTATTTGTTCTCATAAATGGATTAAACGAGTAACACTTTCGCAGGTGCGTGTCGGTGTACAGCCGGGCCCAGAGCCGGTTTGTCCTCCGCCCGCAACGACAGGCGAAGACCTTCAGCTACGTGGCAGAGCTGCTCACAGCCATGCTGGAGCGTCGGAGAGCAGTCGATGTCGCAACCCCCGACCGATGTCAGCGAGTGACCCGCGGATCATTCACCCTTACGTTAACCGCGGCTCTCGCCCAACACCAGAGGAGGTACGGGAGCTCCAGGTGCAGCGAGAGGCACACAGGCGCTTCCCGTGAGTGGCCGGCCCATCTGTGGCACGGCTGAACTCTGTACGGGACGGGAGACCTGCATGAGAGTTCGTGGCAAGGCTATAGAACTCCAGGTAAGGACACCAGCCGTTTGACCTTGAACGCCGCCGGCCGGCCGATGACGTCATTGGAGGCAAGCCGGCTCGGCGGACACACAGGGCGAATGCATAACGGAGGGGCGTTGGAACGTTGCGGGAGCCAGGGAGATATTTTAAAGTGGTTGCATACCACCATTGTTTGTTGATTGATCTACAGACTGCATCCTTTTAAACCTCGATGCATCCTAGGCCTGGATGGTGCGTACATTCGTGGAACGATCACCCCGTCCGACGTCCGTGGTCGAAGCTGTCATAGTATTTAAGACACTAAGACGGGTGCAATAACGGCGATCCGATCCCGTCTCTGGCGAATTTAGAGGGGTCGTAAGGACATAGGCCGAATCTGACCGTCTATTTTTAGGGAAACGGGGTGGGTGAATTGACAACCGATGGCTTAAGAGATGGTGAGAAGGGATCCCGTCGTCGATTGTTGTTTGACAGACAACACAAGTTGTACTGGGCGTATGACCAACAGAGGTAATGCCTGAACGTAGGCAAGCATAATTGGTCTGTCATATTGTTTAGGAATATACAATGGTAATGGAGATCATTGAGGATATGATCTCTACATTACGGGAATTCACTAATTACTACGGCCCATAGGGGCACCGCCGGAGCTGTTGTTTTGCCATCGGTCCCAGGCAACTCCAGGGAGCTGCAGTACCCGGCGGCCAAAGCGGCCACCTCGTCGACTCGCAGGTCCTCTGGGATTCCGTGATGCTTTAGTGCTTCACCCACAGAAGCACGGGCATAGCAGTAGGATGTGGGGCTAGGTGTCTGTCCACCTCTTCATTCAAAGAACAACGTGTACAGCGCCTGGTCCCGCCGAAGCTCGGTATCGACCGTGACTTATTCACAACTGGCGGATCCAGGAAGCGGTATTGGACACTGCGGGGGCTTACTCCAAAAAGGTTTCTCGGAATTAATTTAAAAAAAACTCTGATTTCGATTCCTTGCGCACTGCTGTGCGGTGTGATTAACTAACATTTCCTCAGAAAAGTTGTGAAGTTTTCATTTATTCTCGAAAATCGATTTCGGGCGCTGCCCTGGTTGTTGGGGAGGACATTTGCCCCAAATGCCTTCCCCTGGATCCGCGAGTGGCCGTTGCCCCACTCCGAGCTTGACTTAAGACGTCTTCAAACCTCACCAGAAACCGATGGTAAGGTGAATTTAAATCCAATAACTCATCTCTGTCTGCCCGCCTAAATATACTACACATGGTACAGCACCCGGCCCTGTCGGAGTTATGAGCTGATCGTGATATTTTCGGCTTTCCCCATCCCAAGCTCGATTACAAACGTTCTCCTTCCCCACCCGATTGCTGATGTCAATTCAAATTCAATGCCTCATCTCTGTCTGCCCGACCATAACCCATTCATTGCACACCGTTCAGCGCCCGGCCCCGCCAGAAGTATCCTAGCGCGCTGAGCAGTTGCCTCCAGCCGCGTCATCGCGAGGCCCCGCGCGGCCCATAAATGAATACATTGCGCGAACAGCCGTGTCGCCCCCTGGTTCGTGGTGGGACGTACTCTGGTGCTTACAACTCGCTGAGCACCTGCTTGAAGCCGGCGTAGTTGTGGTCGGGTGCCGGGTACCGCCGCCTGATACCCCACACCACGCAGGAGGGGACGGCGCGGCGCACACCGCGTCCCAGCGAACCCCACCTGTGAACGGTGTGCACGTGTTGTAATGTATATGGCATTTACTGCTGGAATACAGACAAGAAAATACATGTGTATGTCATCGGACACGCAGTTAATTTGCCACACTGATTTCTGTTGATGGAGACTAACGACAGGGTAACTTGCATAAACGTGCAATAGAACTGCAAACTGCAAACTCCAAGGTGTCAGTGTAAACATAGCAGCTAGAATGCAATGATATTGGTAATTAATTCTCGACTTGATGCATATTGCATGGCAACACGAGCTGTACAAGACTGGAGGTGGGGCCGACATGTCAATACAAGGGAAAGTTTTCCGTTGGACATTGCGGACAGTAGGAAACTGATATAGGCATGCACGGCATGTAGGTCAGGAGCGGTACATTGCAACCCGAATAGGAGTGGTAGGTGTGGTAGGTGGCCAGAGAGAGTGTGCAAATTCCGAAGCTACCCAATACGTGACCCAACCGCCGGCTAGAGTTTCAGTTGTACAACAAATATTCTTACCACCACAGGATGAAGTTGCGGTATGCGTGGTACCGCATGGGCTTGTTCAGGGCGCCGTGGTCGGTGAGGTCCAACGGCCCCGTTGCCGACCGCTCCCCGACGTACAGCCCTCTGCAGACTGCGTGGTAGGTATTCTTTTTTCGACAAAACCGAGAATAACGCGAATACTATGCTATCGGGCACTCGGAAATCGTAACAGCAAGATGCGCGAGACTCCGCAGCTTAGATTGGCATTATCATCGTATGCATTTTCCATCCAGTTTGGCAACAAAACCCAAAAGTTTATATCTGCCCCCAAAACGAACTTTTACATTTTGTTGCCACACAAGGCGTATGCTTTGTTTATTGATAGGCCCTATCAAAGGAGTGGAGCATGGCGCATCTATTTGCAGTGAGTTTCGATCGACTGATAACATGACTTTTGAATTATTATCAGTTTTGTCGAAAAAAGAATACCTACCACGCAGTCTGCTGAGGGCTGTACATAGCCCCCAGGGACAGCATCAGGGGCTGCTGCGTGAACAGTCGACATTGCTGAAGCAGAGCGTGACAGACGCATTGTAAATCGCAAGAGCAAGAGTGAATAACTCTCCATGGTCGCGGATGAAATAACATGTCCATGACTGCTAGTTTTGAAGCAACGTGATTGCTATGACAGTGCAAAGAAATACAATGGCACGCCCCCCCCCCCCCTTCTGCAGTTTTAAACGCCCACAGCGGCTGCGGTTGGTGCAGTGCTCAGCACGCACTGATATTCTTTCATGACGGCGACGCACTGATATATTCGGTACTATACAAATCTTACCGGGTCCGTCTCCAGGCACGGTGACGGGTGACCTACCACAGCACACGCAGAAATGAATAATCCCCGTAATTGCGCGGTTGCCGAGCGTTTAACCGCAAGCAATGCCCATTAAACAGCGATTTCACACGTTATGGTCAAGGATACCTTGTCCAGGTTCCAAAACATGTGAGACCAACAATGCATATGACACAATGCACAAATGCACAATGCAACAATGCATAGTCAATTTTCATTACGGTGTAAATTAACACGGACTTGTTGGTAAAGTTTGCATCTCAGCTGAAATACGCGGCGGGGCGCCCACCTCGCCGATTAGCTGACCCGAAGGCTACGGCCAAGACGACGGGGTTGACTCGCTGAGAGAGCGGAAGGCATTTGACCCAACGGAAACAGAAGGCAGAAAGCGGCCAGAATTCCAACGCTGGCCTGTTACGCCGGCCTGCTCAGCATCACTTGTCTACTTACCCCCCACATGTGCACCAGGGTGGTGGTGTTCCTGCTGGCTGCGCGCCGGACGGGCCCGGCGCTGCGGTATCAGCAGCTCCTGGCTGCTCGGCCTCGGCGTACATGCGCCGCCCCAGGAACTCCCACCGCAGCGTAGGGTACCGTCTGGCCACGTCCAGGAATATGTCCCTGAGGGACCCCTCCTCCGCCAGCTCGTTCACAGTGGCCTATCAAAGTAAAGTGTTGATTACAAAATTGAATTATTTCTTGCAAAATATGCTTTATCGCCATTTGGATCTAGCATTAAAAATATAACAAACATGATGCTGCCAGCAGCTGATGCGGATGGTGCTGAGACATTTAGTAGTGGTGTGGTAGAAAGAAGGCAAATAATGGAGAACATTGTTACATTCACTATCCATAATAGAAATAACAATTTCAAAATTAAAAGCGAGAAAGCAAATGAAGTGACACTAACACTACGTACTACTCTAGCTGGTAACACTACTACAGTAATAGTTAATGTAATGTGGCAACCAGCCTTGTAGTCCGTCCAGAGCTCTGTTCGGTCGCTGTTTTTATATCAGCGTGCTGTCTGTTTTCCCCGTATAAGGACGTTACTGCTGGCGCTTCTTGGCCTCTCATTGGTCTAACGAATAGACTACTTGAATTCGACCAATGAGGAGACAAGAAGTAGCAGCATGCTCGCAGCCTGGTGATAAATAAACGGGGGGCGAACAGAGCTCCCGACTGGTGGTGTTACAAAACCACCACCAACAGCAGAATCACAAAGGATGTTTGTACTACGTTTGCCACGCCTACCTGGAAGCTCTACTTTGACTGTTCGAGCAAAAATGTTGCCATTTTGCGACATTTTTGCATTACAGGAAGCAGTTGCCATGCATTCATTCTAAGCGCACCTAAAAAATACTGCAGCCTATATTGTAGTGTGACTGTGACAGTTGGTAGCAGTGGAAAACTGGAAATGCTTGCAACAGACATCATATGTATATCTACCAATGAATCTTTCTGTAGATCTGGTGCTGCACTATCCCAGGCTGGTTATTGACACAAGTGTCTGAATAAAGGAGAAACCGTACCTTGATTTCAATACAGCTTGCCCTTTTTCAGAAACCAGAATGTCAATCTAATTTGAAGATGAATGTAAGCTGAAAGTTCACTCGTCCACCCTCTGTGAGATATATTTGCCCCTCCCCCCCCCCCCCTAGCAGGTCATCACGATGGACAGATGGGAGTATGTGCTGGATCAACCCAAAGGCATGCAACGCTTCTACTGCAAGAACAAAAACAGGTCATCTAGTACAAGCAGCCCCCTCCAAAGTCATATGGCAGCATGGGCGTGACTTTTCCTACTAGCCCATAGGGTTGCGTGTTAAAATGCGACTTTTCGCGCTCGATTTTCAAGGTTTCGTAGTGTGGGCATCCACATACAAAGTATGTCAATAGATAGCTACAACATTTTTATTTCCATTTTTGGGACGAAAAGTTCAAGCCCATCCAACCGTTTTCGAGATATTCGTCTATATATGACCCCATGTTTTTGATACATCGGAAGGTCCTGTGTTCGAATCTCGGACAGATCAAAACTTTTATCGAATGTGCGGCAAAC